AAGAGATGAAACTCAGAAACTCTCAAGATCCAATGGCTGTGCTCTCGACTATGACAATGAACCTTTGGCGTGAAGGCATCCCAGTATCTTTCTGGACCTTTCTATCGCCGCCACAAGAGGTACGATATAAGCAAATTTGGCTTCCGCCATATCAATTCCAACGTACCTCACACTGGTTGGAGAACATAGATAGAGTGATCGAAGCTCAAGATAAATTCTCTTCAACCGTACTTAAGCCTACAGAGAAACTCCAAGTTCAACCTCCCAAACAGCTCGTGACAAAGAAAGACGGGTCGACAAATGAATTCAAAGTCCATATCGATACCGAACGATTCAGCAGAATTGTATCGGGTCATGCAGTTAGAAGACAGCCATTATGCCCCGCATCAATGTATATGGAGTGTGCAGCGATGGCATTACAGATTGCTGGTGCTGATGTTGAGACAAAGTCAATGTTCTTTAATGGCTTGACATTTCAAGCTCCTCTTGGTGTTGACATGGACCGAGAAGTGTCCTTGATATTGGAGAGGTCGTCAGAACCACAAACCTGGACCTTTGTAGTCAAGAGTTTGTTGAAGACCGACTCAAAATATAGGTCCACAATACACGCAAAAGGAATGATTGGTTTGACTACTCAACCACAACTTTCAACTTATGAGAGACTTATATCGGATCGTGTCAACGCATTGGTTAAGCAACCGGATACTGAGAAATTGATGTCCAAGCGAGCATATGGTCTTTTCTCAACAGTTGTACACTATTCGGATTTCTTACATGGGATTTCCAATATCACGATGGATGGGAACCAGGCAATTGCAGAAATTGAGTTGCCTCCTTTCCCTATTGAGGTACAGGAGAGCACAATCAACCATATCTGCGACACTATCGCTTTGGACACCTTTATTCAAGTTGTTGGTTTACTTATCAATAGTAGCTCTCACTGCTCCTCTGATGAAGTATATGTTGCTACTGGCGTTGACAGTACAATCATGTCAGCCTCATCATGCAATTTCAAAGGTTGCAAGTATTGGAAGGTGTACGCCATGTTCACACCAACTAGCAACACCCAAGCCACTGGTGACATCTATGTTTTCACTCGAGATGGAAAATTGGTATTGACAAGTACGGGAGTCGGTTTCACAAAGTTATTGATCACAAAGCTCGAGAAAATGCTTGCTGCAGCAAATCCGAAAGTATCGACTGATGCACCACTGGAAAGAAAGCTGATGAGAGCGTTAACGCCCATCACAACTCCGGGTTCACCAACCGAAAATGATTCAGGAAGTAGCATTGATGATTCTGATGATGAAGGACCACCTACACCTACGGACTTTGTGTCAGGGGCAAATAATCTGAAAAGTTTGATTGCATCATATACAGGTCTTTCTGACTCGGAAGTTATCGATGATGCGAATATTGGTGAACTTGGAGTAGATTCGCTGGCAGCGGTTGAACTCGCAGAGGAACTGCAAACAAAATTTGGGAAAGAAATTGCAGCCGAGGATCTTATGATGAGCAGCTACGCAAATTTGCTCCGAATTTTTGTTCCCACACCACAATTGAGGAAACCAAAGCCTATAAAAGCCAAAACAGTGCCACCTGAGATCATTGAACAAACACCCGAAGACCCTTCTAAGTATGACAACAATTCACTACAAAGAGAAAAGGTCTTACACATAATTTCTGAGATTTGTGGAGCTCCAATTGACGAAATTCGAGATTCAGCGGCTCTGCAAGAACTTGGTGTTGATTCGCTTTCGGCCGTGGAGTTGAAAAGTGAGCTTGAAGATACCTTTTCAATCGAAATTGATGACGATGATCTCAGTCTAGAGTCAACAGTCAAAGAAGTACTGAAGTATCTCGGCATTGAGGCAATTCAACGACAACAAAAGCCTATCACCGCAGTTTCAAACGGCAACACGAGCTTATCAAAAAGTTCTGAAAGAGCCATCGAAAGTTTACCTGTAGTTCTAGCAAACCCCATGGACATAATCGAGAAATGTCAAGCAGCTTTTGAACCTGCAGCAAAGAAACTCGGATATATCAATTATTGGTCCGAAGTTGGTCCAAAGCAAGATGAACTATTGATAGCATACATTGCAGAGGCGTTCAGAACACTCGATGTTGATTTGTGGAAACTTGACAACGGGCAAGAGTTACCGGACATTGCTTATCTTCCGAAACATTCGAAGGTCATGGCTCGATATATGGAAATACTGCAGGTAGGAGAGATCATTGAGAAGAAAGGCAGCAAATATTTTCGAACCTCAAGAAGCCTTTCAAATCTGATTTCGAATGACCTGCTTCAAAACTTGCTGCGACAATATCCTGCGTACGCAGCAGAATCGAGACTAATGGAATTAACCGGTCCAAAACTCGCGAGCTGTTTGATTGGAAAAGCTGATCCTGTTGCGCTAATGTTTGGTAACCCGGCAGCACAAAGGATCATGGGAGACTATTATACTACTTCGCCTATGCTTGGTACTCTCACTGAGCAATTGGTCGATTTCATGAAACAAATCGTCATCAACACCACCGGTCACGGACCAATCAGAATTCTAGAGGTTGGAGCTGGATTTGGTGGAACCACCACACGTCTTGCAGAAGTCCTTCAAGAAGTTGGTCGTCCAGTTGAATATACTTTCACAGATATTTCTCCTTCACTTGTGAAAAATGCCAAGGCAAAATTTGTCAGGTATGACTGGATGAAGTTCCAAACTTTCAACCTTGAAAAGGATATTCCAGCAGATATGAAAGGACAATATGACATCGCCATAGGAACAAACTGTGTCCATGCAACCACCAACAAAACTTCTTCGACTAGTCATTTGAGGGAAACTTTGAGAGATGGCGGCTTTGTGATTCTCTCTGAAGTTACGAAGCTCATTGATTGGTATGATGTCGTATATGGTCTTCTAGATGGTTGGTGGTTAGGAAATGACACCGATTATCCTCTTCAACCACCAGAATTTTGGATGGAGTGCTTTAAAAAGGCGGGATTTGCTTCAGCTTCGTATACGGAAGGACCGACACCAGATTCCAATACCCAGCGTCTACTTGTCGCTTCTACCAAGCTCTTAAAAACTCCAATTCGTGAAAACACTACAAAGAGGGAGTCGAAATTGGGTCAAAAAGTCAAAACGGTGACTTATAAACTTGTTGACGGTGTTGAAGTACTGGCGGATATCTTTCTACCGGGGATGGCGCCGATCAATGCAATGCCTATAGGTAATGTAATATCAAGCCACCCTTTTAAGGCCTTTGATATGCTGACTATTTAACACCAGCCTTGATGATCCACGGCGGCGGGTATATGACGTTATCGAGGAAAGCCATTCGTCCAGCTCAAACATCACTTCTCCTTGCAAATAATGTAATTCCTGTCAGTTTAGATTACAGATTATGCCCAGAGGTAGATCTTATCAACGGCTCGATAGCAGATATTCGTGATGCATATATTTGGGCTCAAACCAAACTGCCAGGACTTGTGAGTGATAGAGGAATCAAGATAGATCCTACCAAGATTGTCATGATTGGTTGGTCAACAGGAGGTCATTTGGCAATGACAGCCGCATGGACAACAAAGAATATGGGCTTAGAACCTCCTTGTGCAATATTGGCATTTTATAGTCCAACGGATTTCGAATCGGGAGGTAAGTGAACAGATGTGAAACCAAAATGATTGTAAACTAATGTCAGCAGATTTAGACATCAGTCGTGCGAACCAATACCCAGGAAGGAAGTTATCCTTGGACACGATTAGAAAATCTCTCTCCACGCGTCCGGTGAGAAATTTCCTCATTTTGAATCGAGCGTTGATAAACTAACATGAGACTAGATCACAAATTATGATGGTGAGAGTACCGATTCAACAGGACTAGGATGGGTTCGTCCAGGAGATCCGAGATCCGAGCTTGTTTTATCTCTTTTTAAAGAAGGAAATGGCCTTGATATTATGCTGAATGGTATCTCTGATGATGACTGGTGTAGAAAACCGGATCCGGAACGCGTCGCGTTCATTAGTCCTATGGCTCAACTCCGTTCTGGTATCTACACCACACCAACATTTTTAATTCATGGCGAGGATGATGAGATTGTTCCATTTAATACAGCGAAGAAATTTGTGACTGCTTTGAAAGAGCATGGAGTACGATCTGGCTTCTTGGGGGTGTCTTGTGCAAAACATATTCATGACTTGAATTTGAGGCCGGGTATGGAACAATGGAGGCAGGGTGTTGAACCAGGATATGATTTCTTATTCGAGATACTATCAGGATTGTGAAGATGAGAAGTAAAGAGGGTAGATGGAATGCTTGTTAGTTTTGTCGGCGCACTCTAGATTTAATATGCAATGTTCTGTTTACATTTAGATGAATTGTCCCATTACGTAACCTTAAGTGATTGAAGTCGGCACGGAAATGTGATGAAGGCCGACCGATGCCAAATCTTGCCCCCCTTTCTGTACCTGACATATTTCTCGTGTAACAAAACCAACAACCACAACATCAACAATTGTTTGGAGTCCATTTAACCTGCAGCAAGATCTTGGGTATGAAAAAGCGTAATGATGAGTATAAGAGTCCCGAACCTCATGTCCTTGATCAAACGTATCGACGTACCGTAGAAGGTGGCTCGCCCTGAGTCGCTCAGGAGCAGTGGTTACGCGTGTACCAGAAAGACAAGACATTGGCAGAGATTTTGTGACTTTAAATCAGGAACATGTCTCCTGATGACGGCGACTCGCTCTTCCACGCTCCGCTTTTCTCAACCTCAGCGAGCACAAGATGGTCGCTCTTGGAGAAGTGGTCCAACAGATAATAATGCTGCAACGGTTACAAGTGTACAAATAATTTAAAAAGCGGAGAATCAAAAGAATATAGTAAATGCATGGTTAGACACGGCCTTCTCCTACACCGAGATCTCCGAGTCAATATTCAGTATTTTCTTTCTATCTTTTAGGGACGTCTTTTTCCAGCTCATATCCAATTATGATCTTCAAAATGTACATTCTTACGCTCCTGTTTGGTCTCTTCCATCAAACCCTCACCTTCAATAAATTCAGTGTAGATGCATTGGCAGCTCATTTCAGTGAGGTTCTCTCACCTGGGTCTCAAGTCTGGCTTCCCAGTAGCGCTAATTACACTTCCGCAATAACTCAAAGATGGACAATCTATCCACCAGCCGAGCCTACATATATTCTTGCTCTAAAGCCAGCGCTGCCTTCTGATATTCAAAGTATTGTAAGTTGTATTTTTTGTGCTTAGAGGTTTCTAAGTCTCTGTTACTCGTGCTGTCTACCAATATCAACGTGTTTCCTTTTAAATGTGAAACACTTCGAATTGATACACCAAGGCTGACACTTCATCGATTGATGATAATGGTTCAGATTAAATTTGCATCAAACCACAATATCCCTTTTATGGCAACAGGAGGAGGTCATGGATACTCGACAACACTGCACAGTTGTAAGAATGGAATCGACATCGATTTAGGTTTCTTCCACGATATCAAAATCGACAAAGAAGCAAGCACCATCACAATTGGAGGATCTGTTAAATTCGGGGAACTCATACAACCATTATTTGATGTTGGAAAAGAGATTCGTAAGACATTTACACACTTATCACTAGCAAGTTCTGACATTCTCAAGAAACAGGATTAGCAGAATGCGTCGGTGTTGTTGGAGCAACACTGGGTGCGGGGCTAGGACCATATACTGGTCTTCACGGTCTTGTAATTGATGCTCTGCTAGAGGTAAAATATGTCACCGGAACCGGCAAGTTGATCACATCATCTAAAACAGAGAATCCTGAACTTTTCTGGGGAGCTAGAGGAGCTGGTCATCAATTTGGTGTTGTCTATGAGGCCACATACAGAATACATGATGCCACCAATAATGGAGAGCTGGTAGTGGCGAGCATGAGATTTCATTCCAGAGATAATACATCTTTGTGGGAAATTATGAAGGATATTGGAAGTAATCAGCCCAGAGAAATGGCTTTGACTTTTCAAGTAAATTGGAACGATGAATTTGGTGGCGTAAGTCCTTCGCGGGTTAAGATTGTCTTAAAAGCTAACATCGCCTCTGCAAAATAGCTCAACATCAACGTAAACGCAAAATGGGTCGGACCAATGGAAGAAGCCCTCATTGCATTTTCCCCCTTCTTATCCCTCAACCCTATTCAAAGAAGCATAACTCAAATTCCTTGGACCTCAATTTACAGCTCACCTGTTCTCGGCAGCGGCGGCAGTTCTAGCTGTGATCGCGGCACAAAGAGTAGTAACTGGGCCGTAAATCTCTATACCATCTCTATTCCAGCATTGACTCGCACGCTCCAAAAATTAGCAGACTTTTACTCCGCTTTCCCTTCATCAAGAACGAGCGTTTGGTCAATTGAAAAATTCGCTAATTCAGTAACTCTTTCAACAAAAGACGATGAAACGGCATATCCGTGGAGGAATACTACAATCTATACTTTTGTCGCTTTGCAAATAAATGACGATTCGCAGGATGATGCTATAAATGCTTTTGGTGCTTCTTTCCAAGCGGAGATGGCTGCCTCTAGTGGATATGGCGATTTGAGAGTCTACATGAATTATGGTCGGGATGAAGGAGAGGAAGTGTGGTACAGCGAGGGAAAATTACCGAGACTGAAGGCTTTGAAGAGGAAGTATGATCCAATGGAGTTATTCAGTCACTACAATCCTGTGATGATTTCTGAACAGCATAAAAAGAGTGTCAATCATGGACGCTTAGGAAGCGACCTAAAGTAAGTCTTGAGCATTTGAAAGACGTATTTTGGGTGATTTAAAGATAGCTTAACTTTATCAACTATAGTTCAAACCTCACAAGATTAATCCAATATTTGTTAATACTCTACCTCCTTCCTCTTTCTCCTCCTCATACTAGTAACAGTTGATTCAAAAGCACGTGATACTAGTTCCAAATCTCAACGTCATTATTACCATTTAGCTCCCTCTCGGCAACACACAAATCTTTTCCACCCACACTTCACAAGATCCCTTCTCTCTTCATCTACCCTCCGTTCACAATCATCACTCTAATAGACATCCTTGAAAATGAACAATCTCTTCCATTTCGTGCTCGGTTTTGTCGTCGGATTCTATTCCTTCTTTTCGGAGTCTATTCGGAATTTCACGCTCTCGTTCGTCACGTCATCGCTTCCCAACTTCTCACCGCTCCATGATCATCACGTAATGAACAATTACTCAACTTCTTATTCTTCCACATTCTAAATACCGCCATGGCTACCGACGAATAAATCGATCATTTTCAAAAGAAACTAGAGGAGACAGATGCCAGATTAACCACAAAATGTTTCACGTCAATGGAACTCTTCAGCGCTTGGGAAGCAGAGTCTTCCAAGGGGAGAACTCCTGTACCTCTGGCTGACGCGGAATTGGAATTGAATTACATGCCCGAGGAGTATCAAAAGAAAAACGATGTATCCGTCAAAACCTTTTACGAACGACTGGAGATAAAGAAACAGGGTGGAGAGATTGCGATCAAAGAATCTTTTAAGATATCGGGCTCTCTGAGATTCATTTGGACGATGGAAGAACGCCGACTTCGTTTGAAGGATGGCAAAGAGGAAATTCGCGATGGAGCCTGTAACGCGGCTGAAAAAATGGAAAAGGGATTATCAAATCCTGGCGAACGGGTTGAGGATTATTGTGAGAAGACATCCTCCGATGCTGTCGCCACAGAAGAAAGATAATTAGAAACAATAAATCTCATCTGGTTGCACGTATCACTGAAAAATCTGGCATATTATTGGAATTTATGAGTAAATACCCCTTCGCAGTAATGGAACTTTGAATAATGACAGGTGTCCGTTTAGGGAGAAAATGCTTTAATGAACCTTGCCCGGGTGGCCCTTGACATGTCTTACGGGATCCCTCCCGAAGTCTGAGTCTTGTTCCCCTTCTAATTGATTCCTTTCATACTCTACCCGCTATTTTATGTCTCACAGGAGGAAATCAAAGCCAAATCGAATACATTTATTGTTATTATTGAAACTACGCCAATGGCCTGCGCTGAAAAGTTTTCGCTTGAGGAGAACAAGTCCTACTAGGTATCTGCTATACAATGCTGAATCACTATAAATTTGACTCCTCACCTCTCTTCTTCCAAATTCACATCTATTACTGTACCTGGGCCCCCATCTGATGATCATAGCTCAGAGCATGCCCCTTCAAATCCTTTCTGATTTCGTTGTATGCCTTCCGAGAGCTTGGCATTCAAAACAAATCACCTATCTGGAGCCTCCTATGTGGATAAAAAATCGTTGCAATACGTTTGAACTTGCGATTTTTTTCCAAACGACAGTCTCAGTGCCTGGATATCGGCTCCCAGAACTACTGCAAGTTCGACCTAGATATTATTTTCTGACTGTACATTTCCTTTGAGCTTCATGGTATCTGTTATCCGTATGATACTTTGATGTTTGATGTCTTTTCACTATACCAGCAACATTGCGAGAGTCTTTCAGTCCCATTTGGATATTGATATTGGGACAGTATGCGCATTCCAACCGAACGGTATTGCCAGAATAGCGAAGAGTAAATTTTGATTGAGAGTATTCGCGTTTCGCGATGTCGAGTTGTCTCTGGATAGCTTCAAGGTCAAGATGAATTTCTCGCTCTTTGAGAATGGATTCAAAGGAATCATGGTCTTGAAACTTTGAAGTAATCTTTCCTGTTGACTTCTGAGGTTCAGCCGCAACACGCAGTTTGAACTGTGGATCTCTATTGATAATATCTTGCCTTTGTCGTTCCCACGAAATCTCGAATCGTTCGAGAATGTCTTTAAATTGTGATTTACCGAGTCTTTGGGAATTTGCCTCCATGTTTTTTCGCTGTTTGGCGACATAATCGTCGTGTCGTTTTAAACCCAATTTTGTGTCTTCAGCAAAAGGTTTTAGCAACTTGATCGCTGATGCCTGATCGTTTTTCGACTTCATAAGATCCAGTTTTTCGTCCAACTCCATTTTCATTTGCTTGATGATATTTTTGGTAGCATCTTCCGATTCCAACTCCATTCTCCTACGTTTGATAACTTCGGCCCTATCCTCTTGAGCTAACTCTCTTTTCAACATCTCTTCTTTTGTCGTTTTTCCAATTTTCCGTTTCTGTCCTGCTTTAATAACATAAGATGTTTTGTTGGTTGATGTACCTCCTGATCGCTCCTTGGACTTCTCTTCTTTCATTGTAACTGAGGGTGCCATGCTTGACTTGTTCTTTGAAATTCCACTGAGAGTTTGTTTTCCTCTTGCTCCTACCGTATTATCTATGATTGATGGCATTGTAGTTTCCCAACTCCAAGGTTTTTCTTCTTTCTTTTCACTCAGCGGTGACTTGGTCTTGCGTTTGAACTTAACCCCCCCCATTTCTTCATATGCCGTCATTGTGGAAGCAACTGTCAACTTTAATAAGCCTCCGGACTCCTCTTTCTTGTCAATCGAATGATGTTGGATCGATGTATCCTGAAAGAGTTCACTGGAATTAATCAAACCCTTCTCCTCAGATGTCATAGCTGAACGAACCGTATTTTCCAACAATCTCCCATGTTTCTCTTCCTTCGTCGACCTCATCCTTTCGTCAGCATATGTCGATGTCGATGAAACTGTATACTCCCACCATTTCTCAACCTTGACAATCTCCCAAAATGCATAAACGCCAAGTCCTAAGCATTTTATATCCTCGATTTTGGTATCAATGGACAACCCGATGTCGCCATCCATGAGAATAGAATTTCGGCCGGTTCTCTTAAAGTGTAATGTCAGGATTTTTTCGATCGTGACTGTCTATAAGAAGTTAATCAGTATGCCACACAAACAAATTGAAGAACAGATATAGAATGTACCCCCTTGACCTTAATCCACAAAAAATCTCCATGTTCACATTTCTCCAAAGCGATTCCCGGTTGTAAGATTGCGACATAATATTCCCAAGACTTTCGAGGTACGACGGGTAGATTTGAGGATGCGACTCGATATAGGTGACTTCATTATATAATGTTAGCTTTGCGCAATGCTTATTTTATAAATATGGCGTCTGCTTACGTTTTGTGGTCTTCCTTCTCTCTCACCATAGCTGTTCTTATCATAGTTATGATTCCAATGGCGAGGAAGAAGTGTCCGATAGAAACTGTTGTACTCAAGTAGAGGTATAGAAGTTATAATTGAAATTATATCGAAACAGAATATTGAGGAAGATTTGAGAAAATATTAGATAGATTGTCGATAATTATTTCTTCCGATATAAACGAGAAAGGGAGTAGACATGGAGTAGACACAGTGTAAATATGGATGTGGGAGTGGAGACGGATGGATTGATATGGATATAAATAGGCTAATTAGTCTACTGATATTCAATAAAACTTTAAAATTGAATAAGAAATGACAGCTATAAAGAATGTCGAGAATTCAATTTATTCGGCCTTAGTATATATGCAAACAACATCTCAAATATTGAACAATACTGTTCCTTAGGATATTCCGACTTGAAGAAATAATAAAGGATCGAGTACGGTTTTGATGAAGATGCGATACTTGGGAATATACGGCTTGTGCTACAAGCATACACCTACTCTTACCTACTGCTGGATTTTAAGTTTTGAGGATTCAAATTGCTTTCCATTATCACTCAGATCCTAGTGAATAAATGGTAGTGAATGAACATTAATCACGTTGCGAATCTGTCCCTTCCGCGAACTTCAGGAATCCATGCCTCTTGACAGTTCAAATTGTATTCGATTGGAAGGTACGACAGCTACCTACAGTTAAATACTCTATCATCCATTATACATCCATCCGATTTTTTCTGTGTCTTACATTGTTTAAATTATTCCCTTTCTGAATTCTCAAATTTCAACATTAATGTTGAGAATTGTGATATAATATTGCGACTCTATCTACCTCACCACTACACTTTTCGTCCCCAATCAATTCATCAGACTTATGCTGCATTTAAATGCAGAGAAACGCAATGCCTTCCAGAATCGACCCTTCTATTTCTTAGTCTGGCTCCATTGACTAAATGCTCGCATCCTGGCACTGGATTCTACTTTTCTCCTCGAGCTGCGACATCCCTCACACGTACTACTTAGTATTCGAACAACAAAATTGTCGAAACCCTCTTCATTCAATGCAATCCAAGTCATTACTTTTCGTCTGCCAAATTTACACGACGTCGGCATCAACAAAGCCAACTAGTTAGATTTTTCGACACTCAGTTTCGGGTAGAAATGTCGAATTGTCTGTCGCTGAGCAGAGACTGCGTCACTTCAATTTCCTTGCTTTACCTTTGGATGTAACGTCATTTGAGAAAAGAAAGTGTATCTGCTAAGCATGTTACTGACGATGGTGTCAAGACAGTTCTGCGAGTTACCGACGAGGACGAGGACAGAGATTATCAATTCAACATTTGTTCGTCAAATAATAAGAATGGGTCGAATAGAACAAGGGAAAATGATACACACCACATCAGTTCATGAGAGGATCAAGCTATCACACGAATACATTCATCATCACTGTTGAAGGCTCAAGCGTTTGTTCAAAACGCGTGTCGATTTTCTATTTACGGCTTCCCAAGATCCTAGAAGACCTCTGTATGACCGACACACGATTGAACCCAGAGATTGATTTTTGTTTCCAAAAACCATTAGGTCGCTGGATTCAACAAGTTGGGGATCGAAACACGCCTGACTCGGATGCACGCAATTTGCTCCATAATGGGTCCACCATCACAAAAGTCCTTCTTGAGGCCCTTGTAGTTCGCGTCAGTGGTACGAAGGACGGGTCGCTTAGCGTAACCGAGCGTGATCCCGCCGTAGACAGCTGGTCGTTCCTCATCATTGGCGGCAGCGAAGCGACCAGTTACGGCATTGGAGCTGTTCGAAGCGTTGGAATTGTCCATCTTGATTCTAGACAATGTGGGATTAGTTAATGTATGGGATGATAACAACAAATCAGACATGACGAATGTATGGGACGATGTGAATACATAGAATAATGTGAATGTACTTGACAACAAGGTTATATATTACAGCATGAATGTACAGGTAGACATAATTGAATATAGCAACGATAATATATCAAACAGTGCGATTGTACAGGCAAATATCAAAGCATGGGATTGCATTACAAATATAATGTGTTAAGAATTAACAACAGCATTACAATTAACAAGTATGATATGCAAACAACATTGAAGAAGCAAGAAGCAATAGCATTACAATCGACAACTATTATATACAAATTATGTTAAAGAAGCAACAGCAATAGCAATAGTGAGAAGGGAATGGGCGAGGGTACCGACTAGTGAATAGATTCTCTTGTATAGAATAAAGTCTTGAAGTTTGAAAGGGAGTATTGATGTCGATGTCGATGTGGTGAGTTATCTGAAGTTTGAGGTGCTTGAGATAATATTTTGGATGTGAATGGATGTAGAATTTCACGGTGGGAAGAGCGAATTTTATATACAATCAAATCTCCCATCCTGATGGAAATGTACGCTACAAATCTGGTAGGCGTGACTAGAACCTGCGCTAGATACCTTAGGGGGATTAGTCCTTACGTCAGGTGATTTCGTGATATGTGTAAGTCACTGTTCAAATCATTAGAGGACGAGATTGGAGCTTAGTGGTTAGGTAAGTGAGCTTGATTTTGATATCTTCTGATTTGCTGGGGAGTAATTGGGTTTTGAGTGTGATCGTCGTAGGGTTGGACCATTCTGAGAAGGCGCAGTAAAGCATCAAGATTCTATACTCTACTGGACGATACACGAAAGGGAATCTAGACTATTGGAAATACCGCATTCACGATGGATACATGGAAGGATGGAGAAGTGAAAAATCTGAAACTGCATGGGATATGTAAGGTATACAGTATATTACAACGATTTTCGCTCAAGCAAGTACCTAGAATCTATCGACCGCTCACACGCATCATGTCCCACCCCTGAAAGCGAAGCCAATAACCCGTCCATTCTTTGATTGCCAAGAAAGAATTTGGTACATCCTCTCAAAACCAACCTAAGAACTAACACTAGACCCGATCGCGTACTTCGCTAAATTGGTCGCATTCGTGATAGCGTGTGAGCTATCCCTTACTAGGTATTTATCCTCATTTTTATCCCCATTCTAACCTTACGATTCATGAATGACAAAAAAGTAGGGCATGAAAGAATCAATGCTAGACTGGTATCGTAGTATGGGATGAGAATTTGATAAAGTAGAGGGATTTGATTCTTTGACAGGACTGCATTTGTGCTGAAATGAGCAGAATTTTTAACCTAGCTTTAACGAAGAGTAGATTCGGGTGGAAGCTGAAAATTTCATGATATGATATGATATGAGGACTTGGTTTGGAAATGATTGGGGAGAAGATGTAATAAACTTTATCCCTCCCTCCTCATGGATCATCGCAACTGCTGCATGACCACAATATCTCACCTACAATTGCCATCGGCCACCGGATATACTTCAGAATGTGATCAGGGTAACACATCCAATCGAATCGGATCGAATCATAAATCTCAACCCTCTATCAAACTCCATCAATCTCAGAGACTGAGCTTCCATTGTTCCTGTCATATTTCACCTGTTACGTTCACGATGGGATGAACTGCCGAAGTATACGGCTAATATCCCATTTCTGTGGGTGATATCGATGATTGTGAATGCTAGCCGACTACCGTACACTCAATTCATTTTTTACTTTCCTAGCATATTCCAAAACGCCATTGCTATGCTTGCACACGATCAAATCATTCATTTCCCATCCACCATCCTACAATAATATTCCTTTCTCCATCCTCACCCATCGAATCCTCATATCCCCTGTACCTTTCTATAACTAGGCGGTTTGATCGTTCTCCTGATCAATTTTCCAGCATACGGTGGAATGAGTGAAATTGCCGAAATTGCCGCGACCCTCCATACAAATCCCCTAGATAGTTGATTAGCTTCATTTACATGACTCGGCGCCTCAATGGCTGAGCGATTCGTGCCCCGTTCATCACCTGATCCTTCTTTACCACAGCAAGTTGGAGAAATGGCAGGAAGAAAGAAAACTTACAAAGTAACAACGAACGACAAGTCAAAATACCCTCCCAAGAATGGAATGCTTCCCAAATACAGCAAGCCTGTGCCAATCAGACTGACTATCATAACTGGATGCCATGTCGTAATCTCGAAAGCCACCATCGTGAGTTCATTCAGTACCAATACTGTAAAACTAACTGCCACCATTCTCGGTCCATCAACTTCTGTGAGAATCTGAGAAAGACCTTGGATCATTCCACCTTGGTAGATGGAAACAAAGACCCAAACAAAAAATGTTCGGTAGGAAAGCGATGAGCCAGATGTTAGTTCTTTATAAAGTTCAGGGTAAAGATTTGCGAGATCTTCGTCAACATCTTTATCAAGAACTAGAGAGAAGACTGGTGCCATTGTATAAACAGTTGCGTAGCCGACGAGCAACCAATCTTTGTATAGGCCTTCTGGTTCGAACTTGATAGCTATGCTATACATCGTTTGAGCCACACTAATGATGAGACCTCTATGAATCACAAATTGGGCGAGTTTAGCACTTCGTTTATAACTATTTCGTCCATGCCAAACGAGAAGTTTGGTAAGATGACAGAATTGTTCGATGGAGAAATCCGCAGCAAGAGAGGCTTGTCGTCCTTCTTTTCCAACTATACCTACACCCACATCCGCAGCTTGGATCATGGAAACATCATTTCCTCCATCTCCGATACAACAAACGCGCTTTTTGGTATATTCTCGAATGAGTTTTGCGACATCGGCTTTTTGAGTTGGTGAACATCGACATGCAACGACTGCTGGGAGAAGAACTGCCAAAGAAATAAATTCGGTTCGAAAATGGGTAAGTAGTAGAGCTAGACTCTCGCCATCGATCAAGAGACAAGCATCAGTTTTGCCGCGAAGAAAGTCGAGATGATCCTGAGCATTATCCTTTCGCCTGAGCTTATCGATAGTATGTATGTATTGTCCTCTTGCTACCAACTTGGCACTGACAGCAACGCATCGAGCAGTCTCGACTTTATCACCAGTCAACATCCAGATCTTGATACCTGCGT